AGCTTAAACTGCACGCGCTACATCGCTTGCGCGCGAGACACCCCTGAAGGTATACTGTAACCTTAAGCATTTATACAATGTCTTTATGTATGGCTTCACATCTGTATGAGTTCGTTCATGTCTCTGGCAATTTCCAGATAGGCTAAAGCACTTTGTACAATACTTGCATGTATACGGTTTCTCTCCTGTGTGAGTTCGTTCGTGTTCCTTGTAATGTGATGACTGGCTAAAGCGCTTTTTACAATACTTGCACGAATACGGCTAATATAAACCGAATACGGTATATTGCTTCACACCTGAATGGGTTCGTTCATGTTGCCTGCAATTTGATGAACTACTAAAGCACTTGTTGCAATGTTTGCATGTATATGGCTTCACTCCTGTGTGAGATCGTTCATGTTTCTGGCAATTTCCAAATTGGCTGAAGAACTTTGTACAATACTTGCTACATGAATACGGTTTCAATCCTGTGTGAGTTTGTTCATGCACCCTGCAACCTGATAAGTCGCTAAAGCATTCATTACAATGTTTGCATGAATACGGCTTCACTCCTGTGCGCGTTCGTTCATGCCGCTTGCAACTTGCTGAGTTGCTGAAGCATTTATCACAATGCTTGCATGTATAAGGCTTCACTCCTGTGTGAGTTCGTTCATGTTTCTGGCAACTTCCTAAATGGCTAAAGCACTTTGTACAATACTTGCATGAATACGGCTTTTCTCCTGTGTGAGTTCGTTCATGTTCCTTGCAATCTGATGATTGGCTAAAGCACTTTTTACAATGCTTGCATTTATACGGCTTCACTCCTGTGTAAGTTCGTTCATGTCGCTTGCAATTTGATGAGTTGCTAAAGCACTTATCACAATGCTTGCATAACAAAATGATGAAGGAAATATCGTATTAGTTTCTGTTACTTACCGATTCCAGGACGAACCCGATTTACAATTCGATTGATCTGTTTTCTGGGGCGTTCCTGGGCATTTTCTGATTGTAAGCCTACATTGTCGTGAGCGTCATTCGTAGTTTGCTTAAAGACCATCATCTGGGGGGAAGGGGCACGTGTAGTTTGAAGCCCTTCTTCCCTAATTTTTTGCCAAATTTAAAACAAGATTGACTTGTATAAGTCAACCTTTTTAAGAAGAACACTGACAAGCGACACATTGGTTGCAAACTTATTTTAAAGCATAAAATTGCATGAAAGTGTAATTTATAATAGCCAGAAACAGTTTTGATTTTTTTTATGTTGCTGTGATCTTGCTTTGCCAATATGAAGTTTAGAGCTTGTAATTAATAAAAATATACAGAAACATCTGATACATATATATAAAGTAAATGTTGGAGTTGAAATTGTAATGGAGTAACATCTCATCTATAGTGGAGTAGGGTTGCCTCAAGCAAAGGAAAAGTAAGACTTGTGCCTGCCTGACCACTACGCTGGAACTGCAGACTTGACTTTCTACCTTTCCTTCATATGATCACATTTAAATGTAGCTTACATTCAGTGGTACACATTGTCTCCACATATATGCAGTTGATAAGGCAAATCGTTTTTTTTTTTTTCTTTTTTTTTTTTTGGAACACAAAGATTAATTATTGACTCTATCAAAGTTCTGTAAACTTTTGCCACCTCGAATGGGATCACTACCTTGTCCATTGAGGGGTGGTATTCGAGTTCCAATGATCCCTAGAGCTATGTCAGAGGGAGTATTGTACTCCTGGCAACGTCACTCATGCCAAAAAGGTTGAAGGGTAATAATAATAATAATAACTTTATTTACGTGTCAATTAGATTTAGCTTTGCTGCTAATTGGCGACACCTAAAAAAGAGTTTACGATCATCAGGACTATGTACAAATTAAATTTTTAAACATTATAATTATTTACAAGATAAAAGCCAATCTATCAAAATAAAAATACAAAAGAGAATAAAGTTACAAATAAAATAAAATTAACTAAGAATGATAAAAATAGTCAAGTTGAACACATGTGACATTTGCATCCACTGCTCACTTGTCTGGGTAGGAGCCAAACAAAGGGTGATCCCCTGGTCCTCCAGGTTGGGGGTTGGGCTGAGGGCTGTTAACCCTCTCCCGTACAAAAGCAATTATAACAGAAACCAGAAGCAGAGAGAATTCACTACATCAAGGAGAAGCTGTGGCCATACTTTGTAAAAAGGGAACCAATGACAGACGGAGGCCAAATCCAGTAGGACACCTCCAGGCCGTCAAGGCCACTGCACTCTAAAAGATAAAGAGGCAGGATAGAACTCATAGGAAACAAAGATGATTGCAGCAGACTAAGAAAAGTGGAGGACCTCTGTGAAGGCCCTATGTGTTAGGAGGCATGAGAAGGATTGGTAACAGGTAACAGGCCAACTATTTTTGCCTTCTCACATCCCCAAATTTTCAACCACAACAATCTAGTCAACATTACTTCCGTCACAGGGGTGCAAATATATCATGTTGTGGAATTGCACTGGTACTTTATTTATTTCTGACAGGCTGTTCTTAGCACTTTATTTTGTTAATGTCTAAGCCCTTGGTTCATGCAACTCGCTTGCATTAAAATCAAATTTGACAACAAATAACAGGCTTAAAATGTTGAAGTGATCGGTCACGCTGAAAAATCTAAAGATAACAATGCAAGTAAAACTAACTAAACTACAACTAATCTCTACACAGTGCATTTTCTGCGAATAAGTAAATAGGTATAACTCAAAAAAATGAATTCTTAGGTCTATCATCAATATCTCACTGTATTATATATGTACCATCAGGCCAGATCAAATTGCATTCATAATGCTAGTAACCAGAAGTGTAATGCTTCCATTCTGTTTACTTTACATTTTTTTGGTTTGAATGCAAATATCTCTTTCACGTTTCAAGCAGTGAAAAATCTCTCTGCTCACTTCACATAGCTACGTTTTGGGCTGTTTTGTAAATTTTTAGTGCTTTTTGGGTATATTTGGGGATCGATAGTTTTCTCGAAGGATTAGTAAAATTTATGGAAATAGGAAATTTTGAAGATTTGATGCTGTTGTAAAATTAGAATTTGAAGTTAGAAATTGGTAGACGTACGCCAAACAGTTGCCCACCAACCCGGGGTGCCCTTTTGGGGTAATCAACTGTCTGGTGGTGTTCCAAACCCCTTTTTGTCCTTTTAAGGGGGTCTTATACTCTCAGATATAATTTTTTCTCCAAAAAACCATTTTTTTCGAACACGAAGATTCAACATCCCTGTCCATTTGTAAATCGTATTTTGAAACGATTTTTCTCTAATTACTCCTGAATTTA